GAGAAAGAAGGAAGGGGAAGAAAGGAAGGAAGGAAGGAAGGAAGGAAAGAAGGAAGGAAGGAAGGATGGAAAGCGAAGGAAGGAGAGAAAGAAGGAAAAAGAAAAGGAAGGAGAACAAAAAGGTGGAGAAGGAAAGGAGAAAGAAAAGAAGAAGGAAAGGAGGAAGGGGGAAGAGAAAGGGGAGAAAGAAAGAAGGGGAGAAGAAGAGAAGAAGGGAGAAAGAAAAGTAAGGAAAGAAGAAAGGAGGAAGGAAAGGGAAAAGAAAGAAAAGAAGAGAAGAGAAAGAGAAGGAAGGAGATGAAGGAGAAGAAGGAAAGAAAGATTAGGGCATGGAGAAGGAAGAGAAGGAAATGGCAGTGGGGAAATGCAGATGGGGAGAAGGAAAAGAAGAAGGAGGGGAAGGAAGTGAAGGAAGTGCAGTAGGGGAAAGGCAGCACAGAATAGGTAAAGAGGCAGCAGAGGAATACCTGGCTCCTCCAACTGGAGCTAAGTCCCCAGAAGCGAAGCCAGGGGGGAAGCTTACCTGCGGAGTGGACCTGGCCCTGGGTGGAGATGGTGGCCGAGGCCAAGAGGAGAGCGATCATCACGGAGGAGTTCATCTTGCTTTTGATGCCAAGGAGACAGAAGGACCGAGGAAGAGGAGGCTGATGTGGGGATCCCGAGTGAGCATCCCAAGCCGCTCCCGCCTTATATCCCCTTGACCTCGAGGGGGGGGGGGGGGGGGGGGAGTGATGATGATGATGATGGGGATGATGATGAAATCCGGACCCAATTTTCTGCCCAGTCTGGAGAATTTTAATAAGCCTCCGGGGAGGAAGTGAAGCCGGACGAAAGTCGAGTAGATTCTGCAATCGCTTCTCGATTATTTTAATTTTTTTGCAAAATAGGAGTTTGTGCGCACAATGGGCCAATTTTGGAGAAATACGAGAAGGAGGGAGGGAGGGCGAGAGCGATGATGCATTCCTTCCCTGCACATGTTGGCCGAGATTTCTGGAAACCAATTGCTTGAGAGTTTGCAAAGAGTTCAGCGGGCGGGGCGGTCTCTGCAGAGACACAGTTCAATCCCTCCCAACAGATGGTCATCCAGCCTCAAAGCCAGGAGTGTCTCTTGGCTGCAAGACAAGCAAGAGGGCAAAGGTCACACCAAGGGGCCAAAAGCAATCAGGCCTACCCTCCTGAATAGGTTCCTCTGTTGCAAGAGATTCAAGCAAAGGCTTGTTTGGCCATCTGCCGGGAGAGATCGAATTGTGTCTTGCTGCTTGGTGGGATGGCCTTTGGGTCTATCATCCATCCATCCATCCATCCATCAGTCCATACACTCATGATAGGGATTAGGCTGGATGTCCCTTGGGTTTCCCTCCAACACTAAGAATCTATCTATCTATCTATCTATCTATCTATCTATCTATCTATCTATCTATCTATCTATCTATCTGTAATGGGCCAGACTGGATGATCTTCTTTGGGGTCTCTTCAAACTCTGGGTTTCTATCTATCCAGCTATATCTATCTATTCATCTTTCTATCTATCTATAGCTATCTATCTCTTATTGGTCAGACTGGATGACCCTTGGGGTCTCTTCCAAGTCTAGGAATCTATATGTCTGCCTGTCTATTGATCAATTGATCTATCTATCTATCTATCTATCTATCTATCTATCTATCTATCTATCTATCTGTCTGTCTGTCTGTCTGTCTGTCTGTCTGTCTATCTATCTATCTATCTATCTCATTGAATCCTAGAGTTTTAGAGACCCCAAAGATCATCCAGCCCTTCCCCATTCTGCCATAGATACGATAGATATCTTTGAGGTAACATATGTCATGTTATCACAGGAGGACACCATCCAATCCCTCCTGACAGAGGGCCATCCAAAGGAGTAGACAACACTTTTCTTGATTGCAGAAGGGTTTCCCAGTGTTTGGAAGAGCAGAATGGAGCCTAGTTCAGTAAATAACAACAACAAAACAACAACAACAATAATAGGATGTCAGGAACCATCACTCCTTCCCACCATTGAAATCGGCAATGGTCTTCTTGACCCATTCAGCCTGGGGGTCAACACAGACCTGGGCGCCTTTCTTTAATAGCAACCTATGAAAGAGAGGAAGGAGGAGAAAGGTCAATATGTATGAATATATGTGTGTCTATATCTATCTATCTATCTATCTATCTATCTATCTATCTATCTATCATTTATCTATCTCATTGAATCCTGGAATTGGAAGAGATCTCCAAAGGTCATCTAGTCCAACCCCATTATGTATATACGTATGTATATCTAATTATTTATCTATCTACTCAACTATCTATCTCACTGAATCCCAATATTGGAAGAGACCCCAAAGGCCATCCAGTCCAGCCCTGTGTATGTATCTCTATCAACCAACCAACCTACCAACCTGTCTGTCTATCTCATTGAATATTAGAGTGAGAAGAGACCCCAAAGGAAATCCAATCCACCTCTATGTATGTATATGTGTATGTATCTTTATCAATCAATCAATCTATTTATCTATCTGGACGCCCATCATGCCCCTCACTTTGGCCCCACTTACACAATGGAAGGCAAGGCGCAGTGTCCACCAGTGCGGAAATATCCCACCAAGTTGATGGGCCTTGAGAATGGGGCAGACTGGTTCTTGGGGCAGCAAGGAGAGGTGTTGGGTCCATCTGGAAATGATTGAGATATAGAGATGACTTAGAGAGACATAGAAAGGATTGAGAGAGAGAGAGAATTGTAGCATAGAATCCTAGAGCTGGAAAGGACCCCAAAGGACATTCCAACCCCAATGTATGTATCTCTGTCCGTCCGTCCATCTATTTACTCAGCTATCTATCAGTCTGTCTGTCCGTCCGTCCGTCTGTCCTATTGTATATCTACTCAGCTATCTATCTAAACATCCATCCATCCATCCTTCTATCTACTCATCTATCTATCTATCTATCTATCTATCCATCCATCCATTTACACAGCTATCTGTCTGTCTCTCTGTCTGTCCGTGCATCTGCCCGTCTGTATATCTACTACTCAGTCAGTCAGCCATCCGTCTGTCCGTCCGTCCATCCATCCGTCTATGTACGCAGTTATCCATCCATCGGTCCGTTTATCTACTCAGCTATCTATCTATCTATCTATCTATCTATCTATCTATCTATCTATCTATCTATCTATTATCCATCCATCCATCCATTTACTCAGCTATCTGTCTGTCTCTCTGTCTATCCATCCGTCTGTCCATCTCTATATCTACTCAGTCCGTCATCCATCCATCCGTCTATGTACTCAGTTATCCATCCATCCGTTCGTCTATCTACTCAGCTATCTATCTATC